AAGGTGTTAAAACTGCACAAAGCATTGTACGGTTTGCGACAAGCACCTAAAGTCTGGAACTCAAAACTGGACAAGTCATTGAGGAAACTCGATTTTGAGAGGTGTTCTTTAGAGCATGTCATGTACATGAGAAATCAAGGTAAAAGGATTTTAATTGTTGGAGTTTACGTGGATGATTTAATCATCATTGGAGAGTGTATTCAAGACATAGACAAGTTCAAATCACAGATGAAGAAATTGTTTAGCATGAGTGACCTTGGGTTACTAAGTTACTATTTGGGAATTGAAGTATGTCAAAATTCTAAAAAGATTACACTTAATCAGTCAGCATATGCAAGAAAGATTTTAGACAAATGCAGCATGAAAGATTACAACCCTTCGCAAATTTTGATGGAACCTCGTCTAAAACTGAGTAAGGAAAGCACAAGTCCACCTGTAGAAACAACTTGTACCAAAGTATTGTTAGCAGTTTAAGATATCTACTGCACACGCGCCCAGATTTGACATTCTCTGTTGGCATGGTGAGTAGATACATGGAAAATCCCACAACGGAGCACATGGTCGTAGTGAAGCACATAACGTGAAAGGAACTTTAAACCTCGGTTGTGTTTATGAGAAGAAGAAAGGAAGCTTGGAGCTGATCGGTTACTTAGATAGTGATCTAGGTGGTGATACTAATGATAGAAAAAGTACCTCAGGTTTAATACTTTTTCTTGGGTCAAGTCCTATTAGTTGGTGTTCACAAAAACAGAAAGTGGTTGTGTTATCTTCCTGTGAAGCGGAGTACATCGCTGCCTGTGCAGCAGTGTGTCAAGGAGTGTGGCTGGGATGACTATTGGCAGATTTGTTAAAAACCAAAGTTAAGAAAGTAGTTCTGAAGTTTGATAATCAGTCCGCAATTGCATTAAGCAAGAATTCAGTTTACCATGAGAGGAGCAAACATATTGATACCCGATTTCACTACATTAGAGATTGTGTTGAATCTGGAATGATTGAAATTCAACATATTTGCACAGAAGATCAGCGTGCTGATAAGTCACTTACAAGATTGAAGTTTCTGGAGATGAGAAAAAAAATTGGTGTGTGAATCGTCAGTGAAGGACAACAAGCTTAAGGAGGAGATTGTTGTGTTAATCTAGTTGTCTCTAGAAATTGTTTATGTATTTTTGCACATTTTTCATGTGGATTAGGAAGTTTTGAAAACCGTTTTATGGTTAGATGGTTAGGAAAACCGTTAAGTGGTTAGTTAGTTTTATTTTCAGAAAAATGTGATGTATTTGCTTATAAATTAAACCAGAAAATGTAGAGGGTGTGAACTACTAAAAAAATTCCTCCATTTTTGTTGGCGTTTAAAGTTTGGTTTTGAAAATCAACATACATATTATTATAAAAACATTTTATCAATATTTAGCCATTTATTAATGCCTAGTCAGACTTACAAGTCATCCGAGAAACTGTTAGATTTTACTGAAATTGATGCCTAAATTTTCTTCTTTTAGGGTATCATAGAAAATCAATTATATAT